CCGAGGAAGAATCTCAGTATATTGTCTCATACACCCACTGACCTGACTTCAGCTCTTTTCTTTTGTTTATTTCTAAATTGTATGTGTGTGTGTGTGTATGCCACAGCATGTATGTGGAGGTCAGAGGACAGCTTTGTGGAGTTGGTTCTTTTTACCTGTATGTGGGGTCTGAAGATTGAACTCGGGTCATTAGGCTTATGAGGCAAGTGCCTTTACGCACTGAACTATCTTACTAACTCTTAAAGCCTGTTTTTCTAAATAGCTCTTAAGAAGTCATAACAATGGCCAGGAAGCTGCATGGTGTTAGGAGGTGTTTTATGGACAATAGTAGTAGGATCTTGGTATGCTCCTTTGTACCTTCTGATGTGAAGATTGACTATTTTAATCTGGATTATGCTTTATCCTCTGGACAGCACTGGAGTGGCTAGATGTAAATCTGAAAACCTTTTCATGGCAGGTCAAGAGTCATCTAGTATTTTAAGGACTGTTTGTGGCTGGCATTTGGTATGTGGTCTGCTGATGTTTCAACAGTTGTTTGTGTGGTGCTGTTGCAGTGAGGACCTACCTGTACAGGGCATGGTATGCAATGTCCTGACAGCACCTCCAGACTACACTATTATTGTACTGCCGCTCCCCTAGTATTTTGAGAATCAAGATGCCTCCTTGTTTCCAGAGGCCCCATGCCTGTGTGTCTGCCTGTGCATATGTTGTTGTGGGGGGTGGGGCAGGGGGGATGGTGGTTTTTTGGGGGGAGGTTTTTTTGTTAGGTGTTTTTTTGTTTTATTTTTTTGAGACAGGGTCTCTGAAGCCCCAGCTGGCCTGGAACTCACTATGTAGACCAGGCTGGCCTTGAACTCACAGAAATCCACCTGCCTCTGCCTCCCAAGTACTGGGATTAAAGGTGTGCGCCACCTCGGCCTGGCATGAGTGGAGTTTTTAATATGTCAGTGGATTATTAGTTTATCACGATAAGATCTTATTGCTCTTTTTTCTTGATTGTAAAATGCTGATTTAAAGATTCTTTGTAAATGTCTGTTTTAACACAGAGTTAAAGAAAGAAGATGTTTATGCAGTAGAGATAGTTGGTGGTGCTACACGAATCCCTGCAGTGAAAGAAAGGATCGGTAAATTTTTTGGTAAAGAACTTAGTACAACATTAAATGCGGATGAAGCTGTCACTCGAGGCTGTGCATTGCAAGTGAGTTTGCTTTTCCTCATAGGCTCTTGTAATAAGACAGCACCGATTCATGTATCTACATAATTAACCTGAGTTTAGCTTGGTAATTTCAAGGTGTAAGATTCTGAAACCTTTGTTTAAATTTTTTTTTAAAAAAAAACTTCTTTACTGAGCTTTTTAAATTTTATTTCCCAATCAAATCCAGACCCCCCTCCTCCATCCATGCCTCTTTCACTCCCCTACTGAACCCCATGTACTCTGCCATACATGCTGAGACCTAGTCATTCAGGTGTTTGTACCCAAATGTCCTTCAGTGTAAATATGTGTCCACTGGCATCTAGTCAGCCCATCCAGTGGTTGTATGTCACACTCTCCCTCACCTAGCAGCAATCAGTCTCAACTAGTTCTCAGTCTAGTGCTAGCTGCCACCTACTTCTCACCTCCCCTTTGGGCCTTTGTTTAATTGAGCTAATGTGGGTCCTGAGCCATGCTATCACTGCCACAGGTTCACGTGAGCACACCTCCATCCTTCCCCTCTTCCACAGTGGTACCCAAGCAGTGGGTGGGGTGAGGTTCCATATAGGAGTCCTGTCCTACACTCTACAGTCTCTTATTCTCCAAAACTAGACCAATTTTTGTCTTCCGTGTGCATCACACTGAGGAAGCCTCACGGTGAGAGTTGAGGGATGCATTAGCTCTCTCTCTACCTCTTATTCTGCTATGTTCCATGAGCTTTAACTGTAGAGATTCAACTGCAGATGTTTCACCTGGTACTGGGCATCTCCCAGGTGCATGTTCTTTGTCTTTGTTTTAAAATGAGTAGCTGAAGCCGGGTGTGGTGGCGCACGACTTTAATTCCAGCAGAGGCAGGCAGATCTCTGTGAGTTCAAGGCCAGCCTGATCTACATAGTGAGCTCCAGGCCAGCTATAGGGAAACCCTGTCTCGAAAAGGCAAATAAATAAAATATAAAATGAATAGCTGATGTTCATAAAAGGTATTGTACTCGTAATGTAAAATAGCATTGATAACTGAGCTTGGAATGCTGCAGGCATTTGGTATATTTGTTTGTCAGTACATGAAGTAGAGTTAAACTTCAATGAAATGAGACTTGGGAGCTCATGGCAATTGGTAAGGAATAACTAGGCTACATCATTAATTCACCAGTGAGGGAACTTTGTAAAACTGCTTGTTCAGGCACTGTTAAATCACTACTGTAAATATTTAAAAGATTACCATCAGTGAAGGTCTCTTGAAATCATTATTTGTAGGCCTAGTGATACCATTCATAATGTCTATACTTGTCAAATGACATTTTTTAAAATTATCGTTCTAGTGTGCAATCTTATCGCCTGCTTTCAAAGTGAGAGAATTTTCTATCACGGATGTGGTAGCATATCCAATATCTTTGAAGTGGAATTCTCCAGCTGAAGAAGGGTCGAGGTAATGAATTTATTAATCATATTTATACAGAGTCAGTTCAGTGTTAAGTCTGAGTGATGCATTGTCCTTCAGTTCAACTTACGTATGCATTTGTCATAGTGCATGAAAAAGGGTTTGTTGTACTTAGGATAAATAAACCCATGTCCAGGCATAATAATAAATTCTTGTAATATTAGCACTTGGATGGTGGAAGCAGGGGAGGCTCAAAGGGTGAAGGTCATCCTTACCTACATAGTGAGTTTGAGGCCAGAATGGGCTACACGAAACCCTCTCCAAAAAGAAAAAGTGTGAGTTCTGTCCTCATTTAGTTTTCTATAATTGATACTGCTGAAACTTGGTGCTTTTGGTGCTGAGTATATTTCTTTTACTCTCTGTACACAGACACTTTTTTTTTTTTTTTGACATTTTTAAAACCTGGAAATAATCTTTCAGCTGGAGCCACCATCTTGTAGTGAGTCATTCACCAAAATGACAAACACAGGGAAAGAGGAGAGGCCCCACAACATGTTCTCTAGGTCGTTCAAAAAGCATAGAGTTCCTTTGGCCTCAAACTCCTACAAGGGGGCGCTACTGTAGAAACAAGGGCATGGGTGTGGCATAAAAGAATCTCCTGTAAATGTTACCATGACACACTGGATGCTTCTACACTGTTATTGTGCATGCTGTGGGCATTGTAGCTGAGCAAGGTAAGGGCAAGGTTTTTTTTTTTTTTAATCTTTTTGAGACGGGGATTCCAGCTGGCCTGGAACTCACTATGTACCAGAATGGCCTTGAACTCTCAGAGATCTGCCTGCCTCTGCCTCCACAGCGCTGAAATTAAAGGCATGCACCACCACGCCTAGCTAAATGTTTGCATTGAGCAGGCACTCTTAATTTAAGAGTACAGCTTCCTGAAACAGATGATGAGGAAAAAACGAAGCCAAAGAGAAAGGTAGCTGGGCTCCATTGAGGCTCCAGCCAGCTGCCAGCTGCCTCAGAGAACCACTTCGTGAGAACTACCACAAAGGAACCTGAGCTGCCAGAGCCCATGCCCTATGAACCATAGCTTAACATACAGAGGACCTGTACTGTTAGTGCTTCTGTCTTTTTGGTTGTGGTCCTCAGCCTTTTTTTTCCTTTTCTTTTTGAGTCAGGGTCTCTCTGTAGCCCCAGCTGGCCTGGAACTCACTATGTAGACCAGGCCCTGCTGAGCCTGAGCCTTCAGTGGCTGTGCCAGCTCTCCAGCCTTTAGTGTTTTTTAAAAATCTGAAAATACTGTCCGCTGAAAAACGAGGACTCCTAGTAAGGACAGAACTATCATACAGGTGTTACTGAGTGTTTCAGAGCTGGGAGTGGTACAGGCAGTTCCTCCCTGTACTTGGGAGGCAGAGGCAGGTGGATCTCTGAGTTCAAGGCCATCCTGGTCTACATAGTGAGTTCCAGGACAGCTGGAGCTACAGGGAGACCCTGTCTCAAAAAGACAAAAAAAAAAAAGCCAAACAATAAATTTGTGTCTTTGTGTTGTTCTTCCATCCAGTGACTGTGAAGTCTTCCCTAAAAATCATGCCGCTCCTTTCTCCAAAGTCCTCACATTTTATAGAAAGGAACCTTTCACCCTTGAGGCCTACTATAGCTCCCCTCAAGATCTGCCCTATCCAGATCCTGCTATAGGTAAGTAGAGTTGGACATTGACATAATAACAAAAAACTGGTATTGGAGTACTTGGCGTACAGGAGTAGCACAAAGAGATGGAGTATTCAGAAATACAAGAGCATTAGGCCACAAGAAAATCTTTCTGGTCCTAGTGCCCAGTCCAGAACTAGCCAGCTGCTGCTTTAATTGGATGTTCCATTGTGTGGACAGTATTTTTGAGTTACTGCACATTCTAGCTAAGCGTTGTATATAAGGTGGTGTTAATAGAATGTTAAAGTGTTAAACTTGGGTCTCACCCCAGTATAAAATGAGAAGATGCACACAGAAAAATCATTAAAATTGTTGCATAGTATCAGTATGTCCTAGAATTAGGAAACTAGAGTGTTTACCGAATGGCAACTCATAATTTGGAAATAACCCTACTTGCCAAGAGGGAAACTAAGAGTTGTGTGGCAAGATCTGTACTCTGTGGACACAGTGCTAGGACTAGTTCCGTGGCATGTAGAAATTGTGGAGAGGTTCGACTACTCTGCTTCCTTCGTCTGTGGAGTAGGAGTAATGATGATCCAGTGCGGCATGGGTGTGCACACGCAAAGCCTTGCTGCAGCAGACCTAGGAATGGCAGTTTCTTGGAAAATACCAGAAGCAGCCTAGAATTTAAGTAGAGGAAATTGTGATCCACCAGTATTTTAGGGAATTGATAGCATACACAGATGAACTAAGGGATGGGAAGAATGGGAAAACCAGGAGTTTGAGCCCTTATTTGGGAATGAGTAACTACAGCTGGACTGAATGTGAGAGGGAGAAAGACGATGAGTCTGAGTACTCATCTTGCTTGTTTTGAAGTACCTTTTTAGTTACTGCTCCGTCACTGAGAGGTGAACATAAGCTTGGCAGTGTGGGTGCAGGCTTTTTAAAAAAATATTTTATTTTTATTTTACGTGTATGAGTGCGTTGCCTGCATCTATGTGAGTGCATCTGTGTCATGCAGTGCCGTGGAGGTCAGAAGAAGGCTTCGGATTCCTTTGGAACTGGAGTTAAGGATGGTTCGTAGCTGCCATGTGGGTGCTGGGAATTGAACCCGGTTCTCTGCAAGAGCAGTCGGTGCTCTTAACCGCTGAGCCCTCTCTCCAGCCTCAGCTCTTTTTTTAAGCTTCTCAAACTGTTTTTGTGTTTATTGGTCTTTTTGAGACAGGGTCTCCCTGCAGCTCAGGGTGGCCTGGAACTCTGTGTAGACCAGACTGACCTCAATCTCACAGAGATCTGCCTGCCTCTGCTGGGATCAAAGGTGTGTGCCACCACGCCTGGCACATATTTAACCATGCCCGGTACTCATATTCAAATCCAGTTTCTTATTATTCATTCTCTTGTGTCTTTCATATGTTCCTAGCTCAGTTTTCCGTTCAGAAAGTCACTCCACAATCTGATGGCTCCAGTTCAAAAGTGAAGGTCAAGGTTCGAGTAAATGTCCATGGCATTTTCAGTGTGTCCAGTGCGTCCCTAGTAGAGGTGCACAAGTCCGAGGAAAATGAGGAACCAATGGAAACCGATCAAAATGCAAAGGAAGAAGAGGTAACTTGGCTATCTGGCACCTTGAAATTGTAGCAAGTAAACTGGGTGATAGGGAGGGCCATTGTGGGAGCTGTGTGTGGGATGTCTGCTCCTGTGAACCACCTGCACATAGCATTAGAATGGAAAGGAGCATTTCTCAATTTGAGTTACTTTTTTTCGGTCTTTTTGTCAGGGTCTCCCTATAGCCCCAGCTGGCCTGGAACTCACTTTGTAGACCAGGCTGGCCTTGAACAGATCTGCCTGCCTCTGCTTCCCTAGTGCTGGGATTAAAAGCGTGTGCCAGCACGCCTGGCTGATCATTCCTGATTTTAAAGAGCACTTTGAAAGCTCTGTTGATTGTTTTTTGCAAGGACAGCTTACATACTCATCTGCTATAATTATGCTTAGGTCTTAGCTGCTTTGTACACCAGATTCAAAGGTTTATACAACTCGAGAAGCTTGGCTTTCAGAGATTTTGTTGTAGGTGGTGTGTCCTGGGGCCCAGGTACCAGCAGTGTTGAAAGCCTCTTGGTCCGTTGTGATAGGTTGCTAGCATTGAAGGCTTGGTTCACCCTCTGTACAAACTTTGTTCATTACTGCTGTTGAGAGGACTCCGTGTGTTTCTCCTAACACACAGTGGTTGTGTTTTTGGGAATGATGATACTGGTGTAGGATGTTGGTTGACAAAGTTGTACGTTGTGTTAAATATGCCATGTGGTGTTCTGAGTACTTCAAGGCAATTCTGTAGATCCTCTTAACTGTACAGGGCAGTGTAGGACACTGTATCACTGAACAGGTGATTAACTGAGCTCCAGAGAGGAAAACTTCATGTTCCAAGTAATGTGTGTGCATGTTTGGAGCTTTGAGCCTAGGCATGCCGATTGTGGGGAGTTGAGAAATTCCATCCCATGTGACTTGTGAGTGTGGTGTGCTTAGTTTCTTACTTAGAATTGTCTAGTTTCAGGATTTAATTTGTCCTGTTTTTCAGAAGATGCAGGTGGACCAGGAAGAGCCACATGCTGAAGAGCAGCCGCAGCAGCTGCAGCCGCAGCAGACACCAGCAGAAAACAGGACAGAGTCTGAAGAAATGGAGGTACAGATTCTCAGGAGCTTCAGTCCTACATACGTGGTGTTGTCTGAGGAGCTGTCTCAGGAGTGCTACACTGTATGGACTCGCATAAGCTTTTAGCTAGATTATCTAGTGTGTTTGGAAAGTGCTTTTTGCCAAATGTTTGAATTCTATTCCGTTTGAGCCATAGGAAAAGAGCATCTGTCATTGATAATTTGTTAGTGATGAACAGTGAGACGTGAGTTCTTCTTTCACAGTTTCCCAGCTGTTTGACATTTGATGTTTGTCTTTCACTGTTGTTAGAGCCCTGCCATGGCTCGTCAAAGGGAATTTTTCATGGTTTTCTTTTCCCCAGTCTGTTTTGGCACGCTTCTTCCAAGTCATCTGGCTCAGTGCTGGACAGTGTGCACACTCTGGCTTTTTCTTCAGGCCAGACCCTCATCAGTATTCTTGCCGTTGTAGTGCTAGACACCTGTTCTGAGCCAGGAGAACGTAACACTATTTCAGAGTTTCCTCATCTTTGTGGCTGCCATCTTCCTGTCTTTGGTGCAGAACAGTCCCCAGTGAAGACCAGCCAAGACGGCTAAGGAGCTTGAGAAGGGCCACTCACGGCTTTTCATTGATAGACGTTAGTGCAGGGCTGGGGACAAGGCTTATCTAGTAAGTGCTTATTGCACAAACATGATGATCTTAAGTTGGATCCCCAGCACCCAGGTAAAAATAATCCAGGTACAGGGGCTGCTACCTACCAACCTGAGTTGGATCTACTGGGTGGAAAGAGAAAACTGACTCACAGGTTGTCTGTTGACCTCCATACACAGGCACCGTGGTATGTATATATGCATACAAGTGCATTTTTTTCAATTATATTTTAGTTATTTTATGTGTATGAGGACATGTATGTAAGCACACCTGTTGTGCAGTGCTGGCAGAGGACAGAAGAGGGTCTTGGATCCTCTGGAACTGGAGTTACAAGTGCTTATTAGCCACCATGTGGGTGTTGGGATTTGAACCCGGGGCCTCTGCAAGAGCGGCCAGTGTTCTTAACTACTGAGCCATTGCTCCAGCCCTGTATTTTTTTTTTTTTTTCTTTTTCTTTTTGAGATGGTCTCCCTGTAGCCCCAGGTGGACTGGAACTCACTATGTTGACCAGGGTGGCTTTGAACGCACAGAAATCTGCCTGTCTCTGCCTCCCAAGTGTTGGGATTAAAGGCACGTGCCACCATGCCTAGCCCCATAAATTTTTTAAATTAAAGTTTTATGTGTATGAGTGTTTTGCATGCACTTACATGCATGCACCATATTGTGTGCACTGTTCATGGAGAGCAGAAGAGGGTGTTAGGCCTCCTGTAACTGTAGTTGTTTAGCAGTTATGTGGGACTCAAGCAGCGGGTGCTCTTAACTGCTGATCCATTTCTTTAGCCCCACAAGTAAATTTTTAAAAAATAGTTTATTTATTATTACTATTTATTTTATTTTTATTTTATGTGTATGTGTATTGTCTGCATATAGGTAAGTGCACCCATGTCGTGCAATGCTTGCGGAGGTCAGAAGAGTCTGTGGATCCCCTGGAACTGGAGTTACAGACAGTTGTTAGCTGCCATGTGGGTGATGGGATTCGAACCTGGGTCTTCTGCAAGAACAACCAGTGTTCTTAACCACTGAGCTATCTTTCCAGCCCCTTTATTATTTTTTATTTTACGTGTACAAGTGTTGCCTGCATGTATGTGAGTAGCCTCACAAGTAAATTTTTAAAAATTGGACTTAAAAAGAAAGCTAGGTGCAGTGTATGCCTATAATCCCAGTGCTGGGGAGGTGGGAGAAAAGTCCCTGGTGCTCACTGGCCGGTCTCGGTCTCTCTCTCTCTCTCTCTCTCTCTCTCTCTCTCTCACACACACACACACACACACACACACACCCAGAAAATATAATTTTTTAAAGATGGAGATAGAGGAAGACATCTGGACAATGTTGACCTTTGGTCTTCACACACATGCACTCATGTATCCTTACCCATGTGCACACACATGAACAGGTACATACAAAAGATAATACTACATAAACTTGTTTAGGCACATTTTGGAAATGTATGTCAAAATGAACATGTAACATTTAAAAATTTTCTGTATCCTATTGCTTTCTTGTTCACATTTGTTTTCTGCATTGAAGACTTTCTTTGATATTACTTAGGAAATTCCCATGTGTAATTCCACCTTAGGAATTTCTGTCTCTTAGGCAGAGCCCTATTGTAGCTCAAATTTGTAACTTATTTTCATGTTGGTGAACAGATTTTTCTTGCTTTCCCAAGTGTTTAAGAAACAAAAGGGACAGAGGAGACCATGTTCACAGATTGATTCCCTGATTGACTCGGGCCTTTTCCGATGAAAACCTCATGTTGTCGGGTGGGTTGGAGGCAGCAGGGGAGAGAGGAGTACCTGTCTCCTGTGTGTACAAAGTGGGTGCTGAGGAAGTGAAGTGCCAGGCCCCATGGACCATCCTATTTCCTGTGCCCTGTAACTAGCACGTTTTAGGGACATTGATACTAGGTTGCCATGGATGGCTCAGGGACTGAAGGGCCTTTCATAGTGAAGTGATGAGATGCACACCTCCCAGAAATGGGGAGGCCCTGTGTCCAATCAAATAAGCTAATCAAATTAATAAAGGAAATGAAATAAACGTGATACATGAGTTTCAGTAGCTGACTCTGAAACTTGAATATAGGAGTCACTTGAATATAGGAGTCTGGGTAATGACATTGAAGTCTCCCTCATTGTAGGGAAAATTGAATTATAAATCAGTGAGCAAACGAAGTGAATAATTTTTATTATTTGTGGATAGAGAAAGGCTTTCCACATATAGAAGCAATTGCCAGGAAATGGCTACCCCTGCAAATAAAAACTTGCATAGACAAGGAGCTGGAAAGATAGCTCAGCAGTTTAAGAGCACTGGCTGTTCTTGAAGAGAACTCATATAGTACCCACATAACCAGCAGCTAACAATTATTTATAACTCAAGTTCCAGGGGATCTGATGCCCTTTTCGAGCTTCTGCAGGCATTGCACAACATGGGTGCGCTTAACTACATGCTTGCAAAAACAGTCATGCACGTTAAAAAGACATTATTTGTATAGACAAATAATGTAAAAGTAGAAAAAACTAGACTTAGTCACCTGTTGAAAAAAGTGAATTCTAAGGAAACAGTGGATGAAATCTTTGTGTTTTGTTTTGGGGAAGACTAAGTGTGGTCTATAAGTGTGAGAACAGATTATTGATCTCAAGAAAGTAACAGTGAGGTGGAAGTTCCCATTTGTAGGCTGTGGTGGAACAGGGGTCTCCTGGTCCTTGTGACAAGTAGGTACCAGAAGTTCTTGAGTCACAGTGGTAATATATTACTGGTTCATAAAATGTCATCTCCACTGATTTCAAATGTTCATCTATATGGTAAGAATAGAAGAAAGCTGGGGCTAGAGAGAGGGCTCAGCAGTTAAGAGCACTGACAGCTCTTGCAGAAGACCCGAGTTCGATTCCCAGCACCCACATGGCAGCTGCGAACTGTCCTTAACTCCAGTTCAGGGGATCAGGGGAATCCGAAGCCTTCTTCTGACCTCTGTAGCATTGCATGGTACGGGTACACTCACAGACATGCAGACAGTACACTCATACACATAAAATAAAAATGATAAATAAAAATATTAAAAAATAGAGGAAAATTTAAGTTTTCAGTTTTTTTTTTTTTTTTTTTTTTTTTGGCAAGGTCTCACACTGTAGCCCAGGTTTTTTTTTTGTTTTGTTTTGTTTTGAGATAGAGTCCTATGTGGCCCAGGCTAGCTTCAAACGTCTGATACTCCTGCCTCCATCTCCCAAATGCTAGTATCACCACACCAGGGCTGAGACTTGTAATCTAGTGATTGTATAGTGGTGCAGGATTGCAGAAGGTGGGTAATGTATGTTTAAACTTATTTTTAATTGTAATAAAATACAAGTAACAAAGTTTTGTTTTAAAGCATATAGCAGGGCCAGATGTGGGGAGACAGAGACCAGTTGATTTCTGAGTTTGAGGCCAACCTAGTTGATGGTTTACCTAGTGAGTTCTAGGCAGGCAGGGCTTTGTGGTCTTAAACAGACAAACAAAGCAAGCAGTATAGCACAGTGGGATTACATACGTACTGTAGTACTATAATTCTTGAGGCCTTTTTTTTTTGTCTTGGCAGAATAAAATTCTATGCCCATTAAATTAAACCAGTCTGCTTTCACCTTTCCTAAGTTCCTGACTACTACCATTGTTTTCCTCTCTGAATTTGATTACTTTGAATAGGTTTTCCTCTCTGAATTTGATTACTTTGAATATGGAAATTTTGTTTTTAATTTTCCAGAGGAGAATAAGTTAGATTACCAAAAAGTAACTGAAATGAAGCCAAATTAGCTTTGACATTTGATTCATTTTAAAGTTTAGGTTAGTCTATTTATGTTTTTGTTCCTTATAATTTCTTTTCTTTTTAGACCTCTCAAGCTGGGTCAAAAGACAAAAAGATGGACCAACCACCCCAGGCCAAGAAGGCGAAAGTGAAGACCAGCACGGTGGACCTGCCAATTGAGAACCAGCTGTTGTGGCAGATAGACCGTGAGATGCTCAATTTGTACATTGAAAATGAGGTTCGTTTTTTTAAAGTCTCGGAGAACTGTAGAACAAACCACTGTGTCTAATCAGAGTGAAGTCTGTGTTTAGCATCTTTTATATATTTTGACTAGTTTGGACTTTGAGAAAATTAGACTTCTTGGGGTAAGAACAAGTTTCAGTAATACATTCCCCAAGTTTGCTAGAGTGTTCTGTGCTTGTATTAACGATGTGTATTGTTAGAAGCTCCATCAATGTTTTTTACGGTAATGTCTGATTTGGGGGAGTTGTTGCTGGGTTTAGGCCACGTAAGTGTTCAGAGAGGTTGGGCTCTTGGAGTTGATGAGTCCTAGCAGTAGGTCAGTAGGAGTCACACAAGAGTACTGCTGCAGTTGCTTTCCCTGGGGTCTCCTGTTCTGTCTTCATCTCAGAGCAGTTTTGTTTTATAGGGCCTTCAGCATTTATACAACATCAATAAATTCTAGTTCTTGATGCGCTGTAATAACACAGTAAATAATACACTGACAGTGACCTAATAGTTTCCTAAAGTTTTTTTGTCTCAGATTCTCTACTTTTGCTTTTGAGTGCATGTGCATCCTAATTTCACTGTTCTATTTTAAACAAACCCACAGATCTTTGCTATTAAAAATTTCTTAAGGGTTAGTGAAGGTTTTTGGGGGAACGCTTTCTGCTTATAAGTTGTGTTAGTTGATGTTCAGGAGGAGCTTGTCTTCCTCTCCTAGTGTCTGACTCACTGTTGCTCTTCTCAGGGTAAGATGATCATGCAGGATAAGCTCGAGAAGGAGCGGAATGATGCCAAGAACGCAGTGGAAGAATATGTGTATGAGATGAGGGACAAGCTCAGTGGTGACTATGAGAAGTTTGTGAGTGAAGATGTAAGTGTGCACCACAGTGTGAATGGCTCACTTCCTGTGGGTGGCTGGAGCATCTTGAAATACCATAGACTGAAATTCTGCAAGTATCTGTATATACTAATATTATTAAAAATGGACCTCTTTTGGGAATGGGAGTTTTTTTGTCTTTTGAGACAGATTTTCCCTGTAGCCCCAACTGGCCTGGAACTCGCTGTGTAGACCAGCCTGGCTTTTATCTCAAGAGCCGCCTACCTCTGCCTCCCATAGTGCTGGCACTAAAGGTATGCACAACCACACCCGGCTCTCTACTTGATTTGTTGAGGCTCAGTCTTTCCCTGAACCTGGGCCTTGCCCATTTTTGATAGTGTAGTTAGCCAGCTTGTCCTAGGAATCCTGCCTCTGCCTCTGCCAGGATTATAGGCATCTGGGCTTTTGCATGAGTTCTGGGTCTCTGAACTCTGGTCCTTATGCTTGTGTTTGGAGCAAGTGGTTTATCCACTGAACTATCTCCCCAACCCTGTTTTGTTAATTGCAACATTTCCCAGTGTATTTTAGCATCATATTTTGACACAATTGAATGCTATTCTATGATGTTTTTCTCTTAACCAGCTCACTTTTCTTGCTGTTTAACTAAATTATTATTTGTTGGGGTTTTGGCGGGGGGGCGTTCCTTTCTATGGCTCCATCTATCTTTCAGCTGTCCTCTGCATCCAAGTGCTGGGATTGTAGGTTCACATTACCACACGTGCTTTATATGGTGCTAAGAACTGAATTTAGGGTTTCGTGCATGTTAGACTGAACACTTGACCAGCTGGGCTACAGCCCCAGCCTAAATGTTTGATAGTTTTGTTTTCCCTTTTCATTTTCTCCCTCCATCCCTCCTCCGACTCCAGTATGGTCTTGGTCTGGCCTGACCCCAGACTTACTGTGTGGTTGAGGATGGCCTTGTACTGATCGTTCTGACTCCATTTCCCCAGTTTCAGAATTACAATTGTGAGCCTCTATGCTTGATTAAATGCAGTTTTTCCTCCTGAAATCATAGAAATATATTCAGAATCCCTTAAACCAAAGAGAATTAATAACAGTCTTTCTTCTCCTGTACCTAACTATAAAAAATGTTGGCCAGCTTCATTTTCTGTATCCCTTTTCTTCCTACTTTATATATATAATTTTTTTAAATTTGGTGAATCTGGGCAAGTTTTATTTAATTTTTTTTTTTTTTTTTGGTATTTTTCAGACAAGGTCTCCTTGTAACTCTAGCTGGCCTGGAGCGCGCTACGTAGACCAGGCTGGCCTTGAACTCAGATCTGCCTGCCTCTGCTCTCTGCCTCCTAGCCCTGGGACCAAAGGCATGTGCCACCATGCCCGTCCCTACTTCTGTATTTCCTAGCAAATCCCAGGTATATCAGTGTAGTCTGAGCTCATGCCTGCATTGATGATTCAGCTGATAATTGCTTGTGTAACACAGGCTAGCTTCAGCTTCCCCAGTACTAGGGTGATGTGCATGTGTGTGTATGTGCGTGCGTGCGTGCGTGCGTGTGTGTGTGTGTGTGGAGAATTTTGGCCTTAGGCATGTGAGGCAAGCACTGTAACACTAAACTGCATCTCCAGTTCTTTATCTGATTTTTGATTGACCTGGTTATAATTTTTTTATAGGATCGTAATAGTTTTACCTTAAAATTAGAAGACACGGAAAATTGGTTGTATGAAGATGGAGAAGATCAGCCAAAGCAAGTTTATGTAGATAAATTGACTGAATTAAAAGTAAGTATTCTTAGAGCAGAGGTATCCTGAGCCTTTTTAGCTTCCAAGGAAAGGCGCTAAAACTGGGGGGGCATTCTCATGCCAAGTAAAGAACGTAGACTGAACATATCACAGACTGTCACAGCTTAATTTAACTGCTTTCACTTTAAATTGAGTTTAACTTCTGTACCAGTGAATTAGAGTTAGAGCATTCTTGGTTTTAGGAGATAGAGATCAGTAAGTTTTCCTAGAGGTGCCCGCTATGTAGTTAGGGTAGGACCAGACGTGCTATGTTTTTTTTCTTTCTCCACTGCAAGCCTCAGCCTCAGTAGTGCTGGGCTTAAATAAGGCTGTCACCACACTTGGTATAGTGTTGTGAAAACAGACTTATTTGGTGTGTATGTGAAGAATCTGATTGTTAAACCTGGCAGTTAAATAGAAGTATTGCCCAAAGCTTCAGTCCTTTTGTTTGAAAAAAGTTTTAAATGCGAGGGAGGAAATTCAAACATTTCCCTTTACTTTTGTTTCTGTATTTTGGGCCATTGTGAATGTCCTCTGAGTGAGTTGCTCAGGAAACAGTGCCTGCCGTGTAGTATCACCCCATGGCGAGGCTGGCTGCAGTCCTCGTGCTGCTCTGCCCTTCCTGCTTCTGCTTTCCTTTGTCTTCTGGGAGATGCCAAATGTCAGCCTTAGAGTCAGTTTGCATCTGCTCTGTTTCTTTTTTTTCCTCTGTCACTTGTTTTTCATGATTTGGGTTATGTTTAATATCAAATAAAAACACGACAACCTCGTGCTTTACCATTACCACACCTAAAAAGTCTCCAGTGTCATTGTTATGTTCAGTTTTCAAGTTGTATTGTTTCCTGATTATTGTTTAGTTAGTTTCATTGAATTGATTTCCAGACAAATACACACATTTCTCTAACAGGCCTTGTGTCTGTGTGTGCAGTCCATAGTTCTGCTGTGCTTTTCCCTCATGCCCAAGGTGTAGAGATGGGGCCAATTGTTGTGCAGGCTTTTCTCATTTTGCTGCCTTTCATCTCCATGGTGGTGTTGGAACATTATCTGGTTAATTGGTTGGGAGATCCAGAGGCTTCTTTAGATTCTGATGTAGTTTTTAATTTAAAAAAAAAAATTGTTTTGGGCAACTAACGCTTAATATTTAGAAAACAATTCTTGGTTGTCTTCCCACTGTGAGAATTGGGACTCAGTTGAAAAATAGAAATATAACTCCACATGAAACAGTATTAATGCATACTTTTACAAGCCAGGTTGAGGAAGCCTGATAGTTCAATAGTCTGGAGAAACATCTATCTGTGTGTGTACATGTTTGTGTATCTCTCTGCCCCTAGTCAATCTTGGTCATAGTTGTAGCAATATAACTGAGTTTAGGCTGCCCTATCCACATTATTTGTATGTTCTGTCCTGTTAAGAATTTAGGTCAGCCTATTAAGACACGGTTCCAGGAATCTGAAGAAAGACCAAAGTTGTTTGAAGAACTCGGGAAGCAAATCCAGCAGTACATGAAAATGATCAGCTCCTTTAGAAACAAGGTATCCTAACATTCCATTTTCCTCTTCCTGTTTAGGTAGAGTTAAATTTTGAGGTGCTACATAGCCATTTGATGATGTCATTTCAGATGTTAGTATAATAGAATTGGAATCTTGGTTTCTTTGGCCGGGGGGGATGGGGGGGGCGGGGAGGAAGACAGTCTTCCTGTAGCCCCAGGCTGGCCTAGAACTTGCTGTGTAGATCAGGATGGCCTGGGCTCTTAACAGATCTGCCTGCCTCTGTGCTGGGCCTAAAGATGTGCACCACTACACCCGACATTGTAATAGAATCTCAGCTGGAATCATAGACTTTGGACTTTGCTCAAAGCTTCCCTTTTGTGGGTAGGACCTTAGAATTGAGAAGTACAGATTTCTGGCTATGAGATTCCTTCTCTGGCAGATGGACATGTTTTGGGCTCTTTATGGGAACACATGAGGCTTGTCAAGGGTTTCCTTATGTGGATCTCAACTGCAAACTGCTTAATATCTTACTCTGTGGTACACACCCCATAACATGGTGTCTCATGGAACCCACATGCTGTGGTGAAGTAAAACTATTGTCAGCATTTGTCGGCCACTTCAGCTTAAGCAAGGTTATCTAGTGGGTGGCTGACTTTCAGCCACCCCAACTTTCTGGATCTCAAGAGTTTCAGTTCTAACAGCTTGGCTATGTTCCAGGTCATTCCCTCTCCGATATGAGTTACACTCTGCTATAATTTTTTTAAATAATATTTTATTATCTTTACTTATGGTGCAGTACCCATGGAGGTCGGAAGAGGGTGTTGGAGCTCCTGGAACTGCAGTTCCAGACAGTTGTTAGCTGCCATTTGGGGAATTGAACCCAAGTCTTCTGCAAGAAGTGCTCTTAATCGCTAAGCCATCTCTCCAGTCCCTGCTGTAGATTTTTTTATTTGAAAGTGTAAGAAACTTAGTGTAATAAATTGGACTATCAAAAATTTTTTGCTTGTGAACGGTCTTAATTTATGGTGGCTGGAGTGACAGCTCAGTGGTTAAGAGCACTAGCTGCTCTTGCAGAGGACTCAGGTTTGGTTCCCAGCACCCACATGGCAGCTGACACCCATCCTTAACAGCAATTCTAGGGGCTCTGATGTCCCCTTCTCATCTCGGTGGGCATTGCACAACACATGCGTTTACACACAGGAAAAACACACAAATAAAATAGAAAAAAATAATATTGAGTGTACTTTTTAAAAAAATACTTTATTTTTTTAATTTTATGTGTATGAGTGTATTGCCTGCACGTAGGTAAGTGCACCCGTGTCATGCAGTACCTGTGGAGGTCAGAAGAGGCTGTTGGATCCCCTGGGACCGGAGTTACGGACAGTTGTTAGCTGCCATGTGGGTGCTGGGATTCGAACCCGGCTCTTCTGCAAGAACAGTGTTCTTAACCGCTGAGCCATCTCTCCAGCCTCTATTCAGTGTAATTTAATGTGAGATTATTTTCATGATTTTCTCTAAAATACTTTTATTTGTACTATTGAAGCCTTTTAAATTCACGCCTTTTATATTTTCCTGGCTTTTATATATTTCCTGAGTATTAAAGAAAATAGGATTCTTTCCTGAGCATTTAATAGGCATTTATGTCATGAGGCTAAATGTGCTTTGGTTTTTATTTAAAGTCTAAAAATTTATTTTAACTATTTAAAAAACATTTTGATTTTTTATGCATATGAGTGTTTGGCCTGTGGGTATGTAAATGCACCATGTGTGTTCATTGCCTGTGGAGACCAGAAGAGAGTTCTGGAACCCCTGGAACTGGAGTTACGGGCAGTAGTTAGTTGCCATGTGAGTCCTGAGAACTGAACCCGTCTTTGGAGGAACAGTCATTGCTCTTAACCATTGCGCCTTCTCTGTAGCCATTTACTGTTTTTAATTCTGTGTGGGACTGTGTGCACATGCATGCAGGTACCCTCAGGTCAGAGGTCTTAGACTCCTCCTGGAGCTGGCAGTTGTGAGCTGCCTTAGGTGGGTTCTGGGAACCAAACCTGGATCCTCTGTGCAGCAGCGAGGGTTCTTGGTCTTCAGCCCCAGGGCTAGAGCTTTTACAAGCCAGCATTGGGGAGAGAGTGGCTCGTCCTTGATACTTGCTACTCACCTGCTGCTTGTAGGAGGACCAGTACGACCACCTGGATGCTGCTGACGTGACAAAGGTGGAAAAGAGCACGAACGAGGCCATGGAGTGGATGAACAACAAGCTGAATCTTCAGAACAAGCAGAGCCTGGCTGTGGACCCAGTCGTCAAGACAAAGGAGATCGAGGCCAAAATTAAGGTGGTTTATGACTTCAGATATTTAATAGACTCCTTTCTTGGCAACTTCATTGTTGTTAGTGTCCTCACATGATGGGCACTTCATTATTGCGTCTTCTGGGTTGGGGTTGGGTGGAAGGGGTAACTTGAGTCTAGCATGTCATGTCAATTTCGTTAATTTGGAAGAAACCACTTTTCTTTCTTACTGTTCTAGGAGCTGACGAGTATTTGTAGTCCTATAATTTCAAAGCCCAAACCCAAAGTGGAACCTCCAAAAGAGGAGCAAAAGCATGCTGAGCAGAACGGACCTGTGGATGGAGGAGACAGCCCAGGCCCGCAGGCTGCCGAGCAGGGTGCAGACACAGCTGTGCCTTCCGACGGTGACAAGAAGCTTCCTGAGATGGACATTGATTGATTCCGACACTTGTTTATATTAAAACAGACTATTATAAAGCTTTAAGTTGTCAACTTTGTTCTAAATATCAACTAGAGCAAGAGAATACTGGAGATTTCTTAGTCAGTTTTTAGGGGATCTTGGGGGGGTGGGGGATATAGTAATGTATGGAGCATTTTGACTTCTAAATAGTTAGATCCAGAAATGAAGTGCATTGTATCTTTTCATGATGGTACTATTTAGAAGCCCAGGTAGTCTGACTGAGCTTATGCTTCACTTCTATGTTTTAATCATGCTTCAAACAAGAGTAAATGTGTTTGGAAAGTTGAGCTACAGCAAAAGCCATGGCTAGCTGTCAGACAGGCTTTTCATCGTGACATACAAGATGGGAGCTTCCAATGATGCTTGAAAAGCCTGTGTGGAGGTTGCCACCAACCTTCTCTTGCCTGGCCTGGGGATGGGTGGGGTTCTCCATTTCTGAGGCTCAGAGCATGACCTGGCATGGAATAACAGAGCAGTGTGGTCGGCTCCGAGGCCTTGCCTGCCCTCTACCCTAGCCCTGTTCTCGCCTGTTGCTTCAGCGAGAGCTCTGAGTGCCATGTGCCGCTCTTGTAGAGCAAGTTTCAGTAAACGTAAGAATTTAGATTTGAGGGCCCTTCCTGAAAATGTGTTCACTAATACTGAAGCATCAGAGTCCCATCTGTCCTTCAGAAGGTTAGAGTTGGGTAGATGCACTCTTGGATGTAGGTGTGGTAACTGAGGAATCTATCTATGCTTGTTCATTATGGGATAAAGATTTGTATCTTGGCCTGTTTGGAGGGAGATGATGTGTATAAATTCAAGGTTTAGCTGGAACTCCTAGGCTAAGAGTTCAAAGTTCTTAGCTCACTCACCATCCCCTGTGTGTTGTGTTAATATCTGCCATGAATGCCAATCTGCCCGTGTTAGAACAGCAGACAGGTGGTAAGATTAAGCTACACTGGATTATCCTGGATGAGTCTGAAGTTACTGTGGAGGACACAAGATGTCCAAGGTCACAGAAACTCTTCATTCTGGACCGCAGCCAGAGTCAGGCTCACTAGAGCTTTCCCCACCCTGCTCCTGGGGCAAAGGCGACAGCTTGAAAACTTGAGGGAAGTCTGTAGTGTAGAGGCCAGGTTGTTACCTGCCTCACTTTATAACAGCCGATACTCGGTGTGACAGAATGCTTCTCTGTTCATTTTGCCCTGTTGGAAATAAGCTTAAACCTTGCGTAGTGAGAATGACTGTTCTGTCCATCTACACTGGAAGGGCTTAAGAAGTGCCCCAACTCTCAAGTGCTGTAGAGACAGTTGCTTGGGGAGAAAAAATGCATGCTTAGGTGAGCGAGACTGGAGACTCCCCAGTGCAGGCCTTAGCCCATGGCCTGGTGCGTCTTTAGTGAGCCCTGTGTCTTGGGTGCTACAGGAGTTCCTGCCGGCCTTGGTATTCCAAGTGCAGGCTTCAGGATTAAGCCAACGCTTATGCAACTGACTGTCCTTAATGACCATTTCTTATAAACATTTGTGTGTAGGGGGGAGGGTTTGGGTGTTGGGATGGGGGTGAATTTGAAGGTAAATCTAGAAATTGGATGATCTGCTTGTGCTGTAGACAGGCTATAAGAACAATTGGATGTATGTGGAGGCAGGCCAGATAACAGTAACTGATGACTTGTGTGCAGCCAAGCATTTACCCAGGTTGCATTATCCAAGTTGGTTTGTTAAAATTCCAGGTCACGTTCTTACACTAAGAAAAATATTCAGTAAACATGAGACAAGTTTAGGAAAACTAATAAAAGAAATCTGTCTTACACTCAAAAGAATGGTTTTCTTTCCTGTTGCAGGCTGCTGTGTGTGGGTTGGGGAGAGTGTGTGGGGGAGCAGGAGAGAGGCTTTCTCCTTGAACAGAACATTCTTTTAAGTGCATTTAACTTTTATGAGACAGTGTATTCTATAGCCTAGGCTGGCCACCTCCTTTCTCCTCCTGCCTTACCGTCCAAGTGCTGGGATTACAGACATGACTCCCAAGTGTCTGTAGGAGCCTTCCAGGCTGGAGAATAACAATCTGGGTATCACCCTCTGATAAGTTGTCCCTGCCACTCCTCCCAGGCCCAGTGCTTTGTGTAGGAATCCCTGTCTTTTGTGTTTGGGCCTTTGAGGCTTTAGTGGTAGGTAGATAGATGATGGTGCATTGAGGTAAGTGCTGGGATTGATGCTTCCCTAATGGTGTGCCCCTTCAGTGTGAAAGGAGCTAGTGTGAGTGTGATAATGGGAGTATGATAATGTGCCTGTAAGTGTGGGAAGGGTGAAGCCATCAAGAGGCTAGGGGCCCGGATTGGGATGGGTCAGAGGGCTTGCTTTTAGGAGTCAAGCCTTACTGTCTGTGGGTCTATTGGTACTGGCAGTAGCTAACTCCCCAAGGCCTGGTCCAGCCATGAGTATACCATATTTTCTGTGTCTACAGAGTGAGCTATGGGGGAGTAGGAAGCCTGGGTCCAGTAAGCTTTAGGCCTGACCACAGCTATTTCACAGAAGTGTTAAGATCTCATGGATGGCAGGCACCAGTGTTCCCATGTGCTGTGGGAGATGGTGTGGGTGGGTGTGAAGTCCATTGGGACCTCTTATGTTTGATGCCCCTCCTCTCAGCTATGGGACTGGGAAGGATTCAGTTGTCAAGCAGGAAGGTCTGTAGGGGAGGTGATGGAAACAGTGGATTTCTGTAGGTTGGTAGTGGCTATTTAGGTCTGTTAACAAGGGCGGCTGACCAGTATTTTAGGAAGATGGGATGTGTGTGGAATGAGAGGCCTGGGGAAGCTGGAGGTGTGAGACAAAATAGGGAAAACAGGTAGGGCAGATGGAGAGGGACTGGCTGGTCTTGGCACCTGAAGGAAGATGGGAGATTTAAACATGGCTCCAACGTAGTTTATACTGACATCATACAGCAGTTGTCTTTATGGGGTATGTGAGATGCAGACTGCACAGTCCTGGCTGGCTGAGACTCGAAGCCTTGTACATGCCAGGCGAGTGTTCGACGACTGAGCTGTGTCTCCAGCCTGATTATGATTAATTTTGGGGGAAAGGACCTTGCAAGTGCCTTTAACAGGAAGGTATATTTTTACATGTTGAATACAGGTTATAGAACTACATGACCTTCCATGTTTGGAAAGAACATGAACTGTGTTGCCCATACCCCAGAAGGATTCTTCAAGTGAAGTAGTTTTCAGGGTGAGCCTGTGGGTAGGTTCTCCCTGTGTCTTTTTACTGGTGTGTGCTTGCTCAGATGGCTGAACATGTAAGGGTTTTAGAGTGTTAACATTAAAAGTGTCTGGGGGCTGGAGAGGTGGCTCCAGTGGTTAAAAGCACTGACTGCTCTCGAAGACCAGGATTCGGTTCCCAGCCACCCACGCGGTGGCTAACAATTGTAACTCCAGTTGCAGGGGAATCCAACATGCTCTGACCTCCATGGGCGTTACACAACAGGGGTGCACTTATACATACACTTATACAAATAACTTTAAAAATTTAAAGTGGCCAGGAACACTTGCAATCTCGGAACTAGGAAAACTGAGGAAGATCCAGGGTTCAAGGCTGGCTTGGGCTATAGAATGGGACCCTGTCTCAAGACAGAACATTAAAAGTCTGTTTGGAAGAGAATGACACTTAAGTGGGGATATCACTCAGTTGGTATGAGTGCCTGCCTAAGATGTGTGAAGCCCTAGGTTCAGTCCCCAGCACCACAGAAACCCAGCTCTCCCAGGAGTGGGGGTGGGGGTGGTTCAAGACCATTTTTGGGTACACAGTTTGAGGACGGTGTAGGTGATAAATCTTATCTCCAAAATGAAAGATTTTAAATTTGAGTAAGTGATGATTGGGTATGAGGAGCTTTAAGTCTGGAGAGGTCATGGGTGCTGGTGTAGGATGGAGGTGACAGCTACTGTAGTTCAGATGGTTCTGGAAGTCTGAAGGCAGGAAGTGCCATCCATGTAGGAAGTGGAAATGGAAGCTGCCAAAACCAGCAGCCTCCAGAGCAGAAAGGGTTTTGGGAAGAGAGGTTGGCATGTACAAAGTGCTGGCAGGCACTGTTGAGGAAAGAGAGGAGCTGGCTGAGTGTAACAGGCTTAGGCTCGGTGAAACCAGCGGTAAGAATGGAACAGGCGAGGAGAAGGCAGGCTGGGCAGTGTCCTGTGCCCAGGAGCTGGAGTGTAATGAGGACAGCTCCCACCAGTCTTGAGGAAACCATGGTCTTGTGGTTGCCAGTGCATTCCTAGGATGGTGACGTTCTTGGGACATGAACCTCAAACCTGGAATGTTGAACGGAAGGATGTGAACTCTCTAGGTCCCACCAGGAGGTGAGGCAGCAGAACATGGGAGAATACAGAAAGGTGCATTTTTGGGAAATCCAGGAAAGAAAGGCCCTGGATGATGCTGAAAATATTTCCCCAATACCCATGGGCGTGTGCTAGGCTGGTCCTCACTTTACCATCCAGTTTTGGCACATCTAGGCAGGACAAGGAATAAGGGAAATACTTACTTTGAATTCCTCAGTGGGATTTGCAAGATTCGAGCACAGCATTCAGAGTCACAGGGTGTGGAAAACTGTTTGCCTTGGGCTGATTTCATAAGCTGTGCCCAGACTTAAATCCTTCCAGTGCCGGGGGGCCTGTTAGATTTGGAGTCCTGGATCAACGGGGGAACAGACCACTCATCACTGCTTAGCAGGCCCTTTCCTCCAATATTGCAGAACTCAGCATTGTGGGTTTTATTTTTTTCCCTACATGCACTTAAAAACTTATTTTAAAATATACCAGTCTGCCGGGGCGCGGTGGTGCATGCCTTTAATGCCAGCACTTGGGAGGCAGAGGCAGGTGGATCTCTGTGAGTTCAAGGCCAGCCTGGTCTGCATAGTTCCAGGACAGCTGGGGCTACAGGGAGACCCTATCTCAAAAAGACCAAACCAAAGCAAACCAAACAACAAAAAATATACCAGTCTACTGGTATATATATATAGGTCTGGCTAATGCTTGGAAAGAGAAAGCTGGGCTCACTTGGGAGACTGTGATGCAACTTCCAGATGTAAATCCTATGTAGGTATTTGGAGGACGCACTGGACAAGATGGCGATGAGAGGGAATCTTGTAGTGATTCCAGTGGGGAGATGTATTAGTTTTTTTTCCTGTTGCTGGGGCAAAAGGCCTGCTTGCAAAATAAGGAACAGCTTATAATAGCTTACAGTTTTGAGGGGACAGTCCATCCTGGTGGGCAGATATGGAGATGAGAGCATTAGGTGGCTGGTCACATTGTGTCAGCAGTCAGGAAACTGGCACTTAGTCCACGTTTTCCTTTTTTCTTCAATTTGGAACCCCATCCCATTCAGGGTGAAATCTTCCCTGCTCAGTTAAACCTCCCCAGACACTCGAGACAGCCAGATATGCGTCTCCGAGATGATTCTAAATCCCATCAGGTTGCTACTCAAAACTGACCATTACAAGAGGTGTCTAGGAGGGCCTTGCCTCTGTGGCTGGTTCTGTCCTTTTCTCGCTACATCCCACAACTGAAGCACAGACTGAACTCCACCTGCTCACCAGTTGCCTCCCGGAAGCATGGGATGGAGAAGGCACTTGGAATATTTGAATATAGAGATGAAGTGTTTTCAATTAGAACTAAAGTAAGTCTCCCAACTTCACTTTCTTGATGAAGAAAGGGCCAAAGCAGGTGGCCACCCCCAAGCTAGGGCTTGTTGGAGAGTTGTCACCTGCCATAGGGGCTGCTGTCTTCCAAAAATTCACCTTCAATGTGGCATTATAAGGTCTTCCTCACCTGTGGGGGAAACTCACCCAGGACCCAGTGGTTCCTTAGAACCCGTGGTGGTGCTGGATCTTGCATATATTACATTTTCCCCTATACATATGTACTTCTGATAAGATTTAATGTATCAATCCGGAGCAGTAAACCAGATGTGATTTTTGCATGCTTATAATCTCAGCAGCCTGGAGGATCAGAAGTCAAAGTCATCTTCTGTTACATGGTGAGTTTGAGGCCAGCCTGGGATACATAGGACTTTGTCTCAAAAAAAAAAAAAAAAAAAAATAGGGGCAATAAAAGATGACCAATACCGGGACGTTCCATCTTAAATGCCACTGGTTGCTAGTGTGTGCAGCACACATGCCTGGGCAGAGGGATGGGGGACATCCTGGGAAGGACTGACCATGACAGAACGGGATTTCATCACAGTTCTGACAATGGTGTGCAGTTTAAAATTTACGAGTTATGTGAAAAATTCCATTTAATGTTTTCAGACTGTGGCTGACTGGATAACAAACTGATGAGATTGTGGATGAAGGGGTCTGTTGTGTTTGGTGTGGCTCTCTTCCTCCTCCTCCTCCTCCTGGGACATCCTGGGAAGGACTGACCATGACAGAACGGGATTTCATCACAGTTCTGACAATGGTGTGCAGTTTAAAATTTACGAGTTATGTGAAAAATTCCATTTAATGTTTTCAGACTGTGGCTGACTGGATAACAAACTGATGAGATTGTGGATGAAGGGGTCTGTTGTGTTTGGTGTGGCTCTCTTCCTCCTCCTCCTCCTCCTCCTCCTCCTCCTCCTCAAAGGAATTAGGCTATGATGGCTAGGAGAATGGGGACAAATGAGGCAG